TATGGTATAAATCCGATGGTTACTTATCAATGATTATATTTTAGATATCAAACATCAATACAATTATAATTAAAAAATTAAAAATACAATTTGTAAATATTATAAGTACATTTTGTAATATTTAAGCTTATAAATAACTACCTATCCCATGCGTTCCCGTTTTAAAAATGAAGTAGTGGTACGCTTGAATATCATCTTAAAAATTAATAGAGGTATATACTCAGTCTCTCCGCGTCCCACCAATTCAACCACTGGATGTAAGTATTATATAGCTGATCATATTAAAATTAACATTGTTTGAAAGTTTTGAAGGTTCTGTTCATATCACATACTAGTTTAAATAAAATTAATATAATTCATTATAATTTTTTATTTATAATCAAAAGTATTCACCAATTCTTAAAAATCAGTGAGYTGAAAAATTTAAAAATTAATATCAGAACGCGAATACCTACGCTTGTTACTAATCAAAATAATGTAATTAATTATAGTGATAAAATCAGATGCAACCACGATGTAAGATATACAAGTAACAGACCAACCGTCAGTTTTTATATTTTATTGACTACATGGCCCAGTCTATCCCAATTGGTGGACACAGCTTATCTCTAGAATCTAGCTGTTCAACATAAGAAGAATCTAATTAACTAACGCTTTTAGTGAATATGACATGATTTGAATTACAAAATGAACCATTGATAGATTTCATCCACTTCCCAAGATAAATACTTGGGATAAAAAAAAATTAGGGATGGGAATGAAATCTGAATGTCTGAATTATCCAAATATCCGGATATCAAAATTCGGATTTGAATCGAACTCTTAYCCRAATTTCCCGAATTATCTGGATTTATGCCGCAGTGGCGTAGCCAGGGGGAGGGCTGAGGGGGCTGCAGCCCCCCGAAATGTTAATAAAATTTAAAAATTATTGTAATGGTCTACAAATATTCAATCAAAAAGTCTTAAATTGTATTTTACTAATTTTAAATTGTCATATTTATGTTGTTAGTTTTCTATAGCTTCGGCCGTGCTAGTAGGTATTTAATGCACCGCTGTGTAAAAAATTGATCAGCCCCCCCGAAAAAAATCCTGGCTACGCCGCTGATTTATGGATTTGTTTTTTATGTGACTTTAGATTCACAATTATTTTCAATGTATGGTTAAATAAATTATTTGACTTTATTATAATGAAAATTTAACAATAAATTAATACTTAAGTTTTATGATATCACAGGTGCTTAAAACGCGTTCGAAATTTGGTATACCTATATTTGAAAATTATGTTATAGAATAAAAATATTATTAGTAGCTATATGAAAATGAGTCATTGAACATCAAAATTGATTTGAATAATCCAGATATTTCTGACCCGCGAAATCTGGATTTATCAAATCCGAATATGCCCACCACTAAAAGAAATACCCTGTTAAGTAACTTGTATTATATTTTAAATATTGAGGCTAAAAGAACTATTTCAGATGATTTCAGTGCTATATAGTGAATAGAATCCAAATGGTAGCTTTACCTTTTTTTATTATAGTCATTTTATTATTCTTTCACTTACCTTATTTTATATATTATAAATCTTAAAAAACTAATATCAATTACATGCGCGAGTTATTGGTGATTATTATTACCTTTTACCGCCATCGGGAAAACTTCACCACATAATATCCAAGGCATGGGCAGAATGGCCAGCAGAGCAAAGAACATAAACATTACGAATGCTATGATGAGCGTCATTGCGAACGGCGGGTCTTGGACACCAGCGAACGTTCTCATGTATGTGACTACTACRATCAACGATACGGCCATACATCCGCCRGAAACCATGACGAGCGTCCGGCGAGGRACGCGGTGCATCGCTGCAAAACCCAGGCCACCCATCACCCGAGCCACGGACAAGAACAGAGAAACAGTGTTGCCGTCCCACGGCACCCTGCAGTCTCGGAGCACATCCATTGAGTAAAACAGCAGCACATATACGCCACTGCCTTGCTGGCAGATGAAGAATGTCAGCGTGATCAACGTTGGCATCCATACTTTACGCCGTAGGAATAGTGACCAGTACGGCAACGAGGCAGYCGTTGCCTGCGCGTTGGCATCCAGTGCCATGACCGAGTTGGGCCGTTCGGCTACAACAGCTGATGATTCCACCACGGTGGACGACTTGTGCATTATGTGGCCCAAGTCTAGCCAACTGTCCACTTCATCTGCCTCGGCTGCCCGGCCCTTGGCCCTGAGCCACATTGGTGGTTCTGGCACCATGAATAACGTAAAAAAATTTACCACGCACAACGCGAGCATGATACTAGATATGACTTGACAGCGGAAGAACATTATCAATATGCATTCCGCCATCATGCCCAGGCCCACGGTCATGGTAACTAGCGTTACGTACAGCGGCCGCAAGTTGGCCGGTGTTACTTCGGAAATGTACAGAAACATGCATGTACTCACCCCTGTTGAGCGAAATTGTTTGAATTAGCTGGAGATATCGTAATCATTTATTTATTTTGAAGGAATTAATAAAATTGAATATTTACATTTACAAGTTGATTGTATATATTATTTTATATATTAGATATTGTATCCTACTATATACACTCAAGAATTAACTTGTAATGAGATAAAGAGACGCCATTACTGAACAATTAATTAGGCAACTATATATTTTACACCCGTTTTTCAGTTCGTAGCTGATTTTGATAAAAATGGTAACAATAAAAATAATAATATCGATACATTGATATAATTATCCTATTTATCATTACTTAATTTAAATTTAGTATTCCTTTTATTTTATTATTAATTATAAAATTAGTTTGATTGATCTTAAGTTAGTATTATTCTTAGTTTATTATGGATTTTTTTTTTACGATTTTTATGATTGATAATTTATTGTAAAACAAGTTATTAATTTATTACAATTATTGGTCAAATATTTAAAGTATTTGAGTATTAATTATTTGTGCTATGTTTGTGATAGTAATATTTATTACTACTATGATAATTGATAAGCATTGATATGCGTTATGTATATTTAGTGTTTTCCAATAGATTTTTATTGGCCAAGCCTCATAAAATTATACCTACTAAAAGAACCTATATTATTACAGATTTTGGTTAAATTTACAACGAGATTTAAAAATACATTTTTTTTTTTAAA